TTTTTCAAAAAATTCTTATATTTTATAAGCAAAAAAAATTTGCTTTTTTAAAATGTTTAGTGTCATTTGCAATTCGACAATATTTGTGCTATTTGTGTGAAAGCAAATAAATGCTTTTGAATTACTGCTAACAAACATATCAACCAAAATATTACTGATTTTTATATCAAACAAAAACTTAGTTAAAGAGTATTTGTTAAAAAATCTGTAAAAGTATAGTTGAGAAGAAAAAAGTTAATAAAAAAAAACTTTGAACAGACCTGTAATAACAATGGTACCAAAACCGTGAACATTTTTGACAACAACTGATAGATCAGTTGGCGAATAACCGGGTGTTAAATAGATTCGTGTATTATCACATAATATTCGTTCTGGTAATTCAACTTTACTATTACTCTTAAACAACAACAAAAGAAAACAGTTAGCAGCAGACTTACAATTTATAGTAAAAAAAAAAAAAGAAAAGCGAGAATAGTTTTAAATAAATTAATCTTCAAAAGTAAAAATGATAGACATCATATTCATTTCACCAACTACTCTTCAGCCCTAAATTTTGAATACAGTTCGTCAAATTTAATTAGTTATCAATAAAAAAACAGTTCTTAAGCACTGAATAAATTAACAACATAACATTTTATTCTGCTAAAGATACTGATTTTACAAAAATTTTTTTTCTTCACCAACCAAATTAAAGGCTTACAGAAATAACTTACATGTTTTGCATTAAAGGACAATTTTTCAAATGTTTCTCGGACAACTTTTCGATTTGCCGAATATACTTCTGCAGTGATAAATAAATTTAGATTACCAATGTTGTCGAGATCACGGTGTGTTAGAATAAGATAATTGATATCAGATGGTCGTAAGCCATGTGCAGCAAGACCTGAATAGAAAAATAAAAAATATTTGGTTAAGTTATAAGCTGTAAAAAGAAAAAAAAAACAGCACAAAATTGAAGTAAACATTGATAAACAAATACAGGTATAAGTAAAAAAAATAAATTTTTGAATGCTAAACAATTTATCATCTAAAATTTGCCTCTTTTATTCTCAATCTTTTAAGGTAAAATACCTTTTTTTTTTTTTTCAAAGTTTCCAAACAACACTTAAACAGAACTATTAGTTCAATAAATTTGTATTTTTCAGCAACATACACCAATATATATGCACGAATTTCCGGAAGAATGAATTAGACAACCAGGTAAATCATTATTTTTTTTTTTAAACAAGTAACAAAAAAAATGTTTCACTTTTTTTATATTAAACTAATATCAAAATAAAATTTCTTTTTGCACTGTATCAGCTTTGACTGTTTTGCAATGAAAAATTTGAAGTGACAGAGGTAAAGATTACCACCGATGATTGTATTCTTATAAATAGCAGTACCGGTATCAACCAAAATGTTACATGGAATACTGTCTTTTTCGTCCAAAACCAAAACCACTGATGACGGAGATCTGAAAACAACAACAAATAAAATTTGTCATTAGTTATTTGCCGTGTAACGAATAAACCAAAATTTGTCAAGGCTTTCCTGCCAAACGACAGTGTAACTAAACTCTTTAAGCTTTTCTGTGCCAAAAGTAATAAATTTATCTAACATCTATAAAAAAAATCCTTTAATTTTACTTAGTTGGTACAATTCATATTGTCTATTTTGCTCCGTTTCTAATATAAGAAGTGTTTTCTTCCCACTTTAATTCAGTCATATTTTCTTTGTTCGATTACCTTTTCTTGTTAATCAAATGAAACTTACATAGAACCGCTTAGACCTGATGAATAGTCACCAAAGATAATTGGAATTACAGCAACACCATCAGCAGAACCATACGCTAAATTTGGTAAAGAATTATGAAAAGTTTTAAAATTGGTGCTAGTTTTATTAAGATGATCCCCAATAATCCCTTCATCTACGTTATCATTGAAGACGTTCTCTGCAGCCTCTGTTTCTGTCTTTTCAGATGTCAGCTTTCTGTCCTTTAAAATCTTTGACCTTATAGTTCTTGAGCGTAAATATCCTAAAAAAAAATTTGAAGTTCTTGCAGATTTGACCAAAATTGAACAGAAAACTGATAACTTTTATACTTTCAGGTTTATATTCAGGTCGCGGAATAAATGGCAATGATGAAAAGAGACTGATACGATGATGTTGAGCAGATTCATGAGAATAGTCGAAAACAAAAAAACTGCTATCTTTTGGTCGTCTTGAGTCTAAATACCTGACGGTTAGAATAGCATTATGATCATATATTACAATTTTATCATATGCATATTTGCATACATAATAGGTACAAATCTTAATGACTTTAACAAATGCTTCTTTTCTAGATATCGCTATTAACTGCTGAACTAACTAGTTTAAGCGGTTAAATAGGTCAAAGTACAAGTTTTGTTTCAAAAGACCATATGATAACATTTAGCCTTTATCAAGTAGCAATTTTCTAGGTGACAAATAAAACAATTAACACCTTATATAACTGTTTTTAACATCTGTGAAGATCAGCAGAAAGACTCGAAACAAAAAAGTATTTCACAGTGTATTCGGTCACTTCTTTTATCGCAAAAATACTGTTAACTTATATCAAAATTGCAAAGGTTTATTTCAAAAAAATAAATTAAAAAAGAAAAAGGTAAAAGCTATATATATATATATATATATATATATATATA